AGAACGGGCCGTTCTGGTTGCACTTTTGGTGTGTTACTTTTGCATCCGGAACGACCCGTTTCAATTGCAAAATTAACACACCAAAAGTGCAACCAGAACGGCCCGTTCTGGTTTCAGAACGCGCCGTTCTGGTTCCAGGTGTTTTCAAAAAATTGGGATCCACGTGGCATCTACGTGGCATCCACCTATGCATCCACGTGGCATCTACGTGGCATCCACCTATGCATCCACGTGGCATCCACCTATGCAACAGTTAACTCCGTTAAAGAAATTTAGACGAAAGTCCCACATTGAAACCAATTAATTTATTTGGGACTAAATTGAAACCAATTAATTAGTTTGGGACCAAATTGAGACCAAAAATTAATGAGGGACTACATTGAAACAAAAAAAGATTATAAGGGACCAAAATAGGTATTTAGCCTAATATGAATCATTATGTTTGTTTGTTTACATCATTACTCTAAAAACTCAACCAAACCGGCGATTAGAGTTGGAAAATTGGTGAATTTGTCGATTGATTCATCAAATAAACTACAAAACTGATTTGTAAAATAGTTGGAATGTTCTACTCATCATAGTTTAAAAATCTTAATATGCATTTGAATCTTTCTATTCAAAATATGTTTTTATAAAATAATGTTGTAAATAATAATAATTAAAAAATAAATTAATGTATATTGTGATTGTGGAGAAAAGACATACACTAAAAGGGGAGTCAATAATGTGTATAAAAAATTCACATGTTTATGCAGTGAAAATAAAATAACTTATCAGACGAAGCGTCGGAGAAGAGTCAGATGAAACACCAAAGATTTTCATATTGATTTGTCTCAATCACTGAGACTATTTCTAGTTTTTAATTCAACCAAATTGAGTTCTACTAACTTTCACAAAGTTTACCGAGCCACTTTTGGCTCAATCCTAAGTAGTCTTTGACATACTTTTTCAAGCAACTATTTAAGTATTCTTTGAATAACAAACCTCTCTCCAAAGTATTCTTTCAACCAAGTTTCTTCAGACTCAAACACTAAGTATTCTTCAAACAAGTCACTCTGCGCTCAACACAAATTATTTTTTCAAACAAGTCTTTTCAGACTCAATACTAAGTATTCTTTCACACAAACCTTTTCAAGTTTAACCCTTACAACAAAGGTAATGGATGATTACATAATTGTTTCGTCTCTTCTAAACATGATGTAATTAATAATGAAAGCACAAGTAATTTATAAAAAAAAAATATGTACAAGATTTACGATAAAATGTTTCTTTATAATTTTTTTGCTTGGTATATTTTTGTATGTTTCTCTATACAAATTTCTCCATGTGTGTCACTTTTATCTTTTATGTTCTATGTGTGTCACTTCTTTTTTCGTTGTTTAAAAACTTGATCCTTTTATAGTAGTTTCAAAGAAGATGACTGTTGCGGCAATTTTGAGTTGAACTTGCAATTCGCTTCACAAGTTGCCTTGTTTGTTTTCTTTATTAATCTTAGTGATTATTGTTGATGCATTTAATGCGAGCATTAAATGTCTTTTAGTAAAACGTGTATCTCTTATTTAATCTAGCAAACTACTTTTAATCATTTCCTTCTAAAATGAGTATGGCAGATGACAGAAATAATGTTAATGCAAAGCAGTCGAAGTTCTGTCTTTTGTAAAGCCTTTTTCATAATATTCGGGATTTTGCTTTTTGCTTTTGACGGATATTTTGTCTTTTCCTTTTTTAATAGATTTTGAGAGTTATAAAGTTTATTTCTTGATCGAACCGTTGAAGAATAAAACATTGAATGAAACTTAATGGTAGTCTCACTTCGAAGTATACCTTTAATGCATAGAAACAAATTATATGTTTCGTCTTATTTACTTCATCATACAGACGATATATATTTTCTACATTTCATCTGATATAATATATCTTTGTAGATATTTAACTTTGCTTAAAAGAAAATATTTCATTTGTTATCATTAAAACTTGAGAGATCTAAAATTGTCT